GTGTTTGTGCAATTCTAGTGAGTTATTAATATTTCTTATTTTATTGTTTCATAAATGTGTTGCCTCAAAAATGAATACGAGTCACAACTTGGTAGCTCACGTTGCACAGAGATGTAAATAAGTAGGCATGCGGTAATTAGGTTAAAAACATTTTTTGCAGGCCTGAGACCGTTATGGTAAACAGCTCTCTTCCCTTGCCCATCCCCTCCCTCAGCTCCCCAGTGTCTTCCCAATAAAAGTTTTAGTGTAAATTAGCCCCAGGAAACTGAGGAAATATATATAACAAGTGTTCATCGACTATTTTTTGGGTTTAGTTTTTTAAAAAAACGCATGTTTTTTTCTGAATTCAGGATCAATTTGGACAACTACAATACATTTCTAAAGCCTGGGCAACATAGCAAGATTTCATCTGTACAAAAGATTTAAAAAAAAAAACAATTAGCTGAATGTGATGGTACATACCTGTAGTCCCAGCTACTCAGGAGGCTGAGGCAGGAGGATCACTTGAGCCCAGGAGTTCAAGACCAGCCTGGGGGATATAGTGAGAAGCCCCCATCTCAAAAAAAAAAAAAAAAAGAAAGAAAGAAAAGAAAACATGTTATAAACAGTTGAACTAGAATTATTTTTTCTGAGCTCTTCCTGCACATGCATATACCATGGTATATAAATTATTTGGCAAAAGACAAGAAAAAAGGGGAGAGAAGACATCTAAGAGGTGTCCAAAACAAAAGGACACAGAGAGAAAGAAATGTAGTATGTTGAGAAATAGGTGAGAAGCAGCATATGAAAATAGGGTTGACTTGGTTTTGAATTTGAACGGAAAATATTCTTAATAAAACATATTTGGGGTTCTCTCAACTCAAAATGTTGGTACTGTCTTTAAGAAAAGGTGTGCCAAACCTTGAGTTCTACTTTTTCTCTATCCCTGGGAGGTGTGGGCAGCAGAATGGTTTCAAGGTTGCCATCCTATGACTGTCTCCAATCTAAGCCTAAGCCAGAAAAAATAAATTCACACCCTGAGCTCAGTACCCTGCACCTCTCCTGAAATGGCCATTTGGGGGTTTGTCGTTGCGAGTTATTTTGTTTTTTGGTAATGCCCGGAAGAGGGGACTCCCCTCCTGTGTTTGAACAACAGTTCTCTCAACCATCATGAATATGTCAGGCCATTGTAGACAGATGGCCTCAAACATAGATATTTATAACCCCCCTTTCTAGAATCTATACTCTCAGAATCACCTCTCGTCACAACTGGCTTCCCATTCATTCTGTCTGCAGGGTGAGAATGTGTCAGACATCCAGTCTCAAGTACACTGTGCTATGTGACAACTCAAATTCTCATTTGTATATTAAAATATGTGACTTTGTGTATTAAAAATATAGGCAATCTAAGCAAATTTGCCGGGAAAGAAGTTTCTCGGTCTCCGTTTCCTATAGCTCACCTCAAACAGTATCATTCATCTTTCTAGATAGTTTCTTTGTCACACTTTTCTAACTAAGAAAAAAAGGAACAACATATTCAGTTATATGGGGGTGGGGAACCTCCCTTAAGCTTAATACTCTAGCAGATCAAATCAACTACCGCGTTTTGATTTTTGTCTCTTAATCTCTGTCTATATGCTTGACAATTAGCACACGTATTTCGTAGTCGGCTACACTCATTTAAGCTAGTGTTATGTTTCCATAGTCTTCGTGATTCAGAGAGTATCTCAACAGACAAGTTGGATAAATTGGGGTGGACACGTCACTTTGAAAATAACACTTTTGCACACGTCCTTTACAATCACAACACACGTGGCAGCCCTCTGCTTGGTATAGAGTTGTACCGCAGCAAGACAATTTATGGTTGGGATGGTCACCAGCTGACATCTATGAGAAGCCTTGTTCTCCAAAGGATTTCCTTTGAGGGTGATGCCAGAACTCCAAAGAAAATGAAAAAGAAAAAAATAAAAAAAAGGGAAAGCAGTATTATTTTACAATTGTTAGTATTCAAAAGAAAATTTCAGTGTTCCTGGCAAGCCAGACAAAGCTACAGATGTGAACTCTTTCTCTGTACGCACCCAAAATGGGGCACCTTTTCAGAACTGGGGATAAGAACAGGAGACTCTGATCTTACTTGAGTATGGAACAACACACAGGTGTTCCTTGTTCCTTTTGGGAAACAAACCACAGCAGTGCTGTCAAAAGAAAGTCGTACCTTCAAAAACATGGTGCTTCAAAGGTGAGTGTCTGTTTAGACTCGCTTCTCTGTGCTGACATTTTGCAGGGGCATTTTGCTTTCTAGGACGGAGGCATTAAAATGTGGAACATGCTCGCAGGTTCCCCAGGAATTAGTGTAGAGACTTTGTTGAAGAGAGAACTTGGAAGACTTTGGGTGGATACTAACATCTTGATTATAGTTACTTCCTTACATTGTGGTGAGATCATTTAATGTAAGGAGAAGTAATTTTTTTTTTCCAGGTGAAAATGAGAACCTCAGGGTAAACTTTTAAGTATGGGTGTGAAATTTGTGTGCTTTGAAATATTTTGAGAAAATGATAATGCTGCTATCTCTTCTTCACTGCTGTGATTAAAACTTTATGTGATCCAATAATGTCTTCCAGATACCAATTGGTTTGCATAAACTTTATTAGAATGTGAATAAGTAACTCAAGAGTACATTTATGCCCTTAACCTTTTATAAGAAAATGAAGTTCAAAACTTCTTGTTTTAAAGATGCAAAGGTCAAGCAGCATTTCTGTCTTAAAACTCTCCCCATTCCCAATTTCAGAGAATTCTCTCAAACTTATGATAAATGTTTTTAAGAGAATTTCAGAATAATATGCTGGATGGTTGTACCATTTTCCTTCTTAAAACTTTCACTCTATTAACCTTAGCGTCTTTCTAATGAGAACTGAGTTGCTGTAGCTCTAAAATTATATCCAAAGCACCTGTGTGATTGCTATTAACTGCCTTATTGAAACTTGAAATTAACATTGTAGGCATCCTTCTTTGATGAAGGAATCATTTATATATGTTGGCATAGCAGCAGATATTTTTTAGTCTAATTTAAAATTGAAGTGGCTTTCATCAAATGAAGATGGGGGAATGATTGAAAGGAAGTTGATAGATTTTTTTAAAATTAAGTCAATCAGTGTGGATGCTTACTGCATGCAAGGTCGAAAGATTCTAATAGGACTTGAGCCTGTTTTCCTGCTCAGGCAATTAACACCTGAAGTTAAGAGTCCAATGAGTGAATTAGGACTTTGCATACACCCATCTCATAGCGATAGCTGCCTGTTTTGGCTTGTGTGTGCAAAATGGCAACCATTTTTCTCCCGTTTTTAAATCTCTTTTAATCGCTTCGTTAGAATGCTTAGGAAGATGTGGAACTTTCCTTGCTGATTTTTCTCAGATCTGGGGACTGCTGAGTCATTATCATAATTGAGAATTAAGAGATAGTTGAGATTTGCCCCATGCAAGCAGGACATGCTGTTTTGATTTAGAGCCTCCAAACAAGAGAAATCTGACTTGATGAAAATGTGATAGGCTGGTTTCCTTTGAGGAGGGAATAAGGAAATTTTCTCATAGGTTTCTATGACAGCTTTAAACATGCTGATGGTCAAAGAATAATCCCTGTTGAACAAGAAGAGAAGAGGCTCTTTTCCACCTTCCCTGGAGGGGGCACTCGTGAGAACTCTGATGGCCGGGCAAGGAGACAAGGGCAGGATCTGCTCATGTGCAACTTTTCTTTTGATCTGTTCGAAGTGACCCATAGCTGGGGAAAAGGTGTCTTTAGTGGGATCTATAGACTCATGTAAAATAGAAGGACTGGTTATGGTTCATCTGGTACAGAAAGTGGTGTTAGGGCCAGCTGATACCAGCTTAGGAGAGCCAGTTGCTACATTGGCAGGAATTCATGGTGCCATTTGTAATACATAGCCATTATTAAACTTAAATACGTTGTATTTAAAAAACAAAGGTAATTAATATCCCAAATCCATCACTTCCTGATTGCTTTACTTTACTCTGCTATTCTCTATGCTATGGAGGTTATTTGTGTCTGTATGTTGGAAATACCATCAGTGTTGTCATGACAGTAGCTTGAAATCAGATGTTGTGATTTCTGCAAGACAATTTATGGTTAGAGTGGTCGCCAGCTGCCATCTATGAGAAGCCTTGTTCTTCGAAGGATTTCCTCTGAGGGAGATGCCAGGGCTAAGCAAATGCTACAAAGCAGGCCTTTTCCTTCCAGAAAGCCAGTTGTTAAACTCCCACCAGCACCCATTCATTTTTGTGTATGAGACTGGGGCACAGAGACCAACAGAGACCCGGCCAAAGTCCTGCACCTGCTGTTACTGGCAGGGCCAACACTAGACTTGGGTCTCCCAGGACCTGTCCCAGGTGCCTGTCTTTCACTTACACGGCTCAGAGATATCAGTGCTGAAAGACACAAGGAACATGGGTCAGGTTTAGCTGTGGCACTTGGTTCCAGGGCTCTTCTGGTACTGGTGACAGCATTGTTAGGAATCAGGTCAGACGGGAGGAGGGGATGATTAACACAGATAGGTGGGTGTCTGATCTCAGGTGAGCAACTTGGGGGAAGAGGAGGCAGAGATGGGATCCCAAGCTGTCCATAATGCATGGTGCTACAATTACTGAATGGACAGATGAGTAAAGCATGAGTAACACTTAGTGCCACCTGATCATATGTTATGTATGTATTTGCTAATTTATTTTGTGTCTTGCCCATTAGAATGTGAGCTCTATGAGGACAGGGACTTTGTCCTGTGTGCTGCTGTACCCCCAGCTCCCAGAGCAGTGCATGGCACATAGAAAGTGCTCAGTAAATATTTTCAAATGAATGAATGAACCTATCCTGCCACTTCTTGGCATCTTATGATGCCAACTCCCAGGGGACGGTTTGCCCAGAGGAATATGCCTGGTGGAGTCCACCCTAGGGGACCCTCTAACCCTTGTCTGGCTGCTAGACTCTCACGACCACCATTTCTCTTCCCTCTTAGATGACGGAGGGCCGTCGATGTCAAGTACATCTTCTTGATGACAGGAAGCTGGAACTCCTAGTACAGGTAAACCGCTTTTGGTCAACTTCCTAAGTTTCTGCGGAGACTGATGTGGTTCAGACGTTGATTCAGCTGGGGATGGAGGGAGAGAATGTGAACTGTTTTTGAATATCTGTTAAAACCTGGGAGAGAATGACTAGGACACACCAGGGTGTGTGGCGTGTGTGGTGTTTTTCCTTCGTTCTGTGTCTGTACGCACTGGAGCCTAAGGCGTTCAAGGCCAGATGTGTATCTAACCTATTGTTACAAATCTCCAGAAAAGGAAATTGCACAACTGCCCTTAGCTGTTCTTTCTGCTTAGGAGGAGTTAACTACAATGTAACCTAAATAACTCTTGCTGTAACTAACGCTGATGTAGTCTTCCTTGCTCAGAGGGGATAGAAAATATTAATAGTTCATTCTTTTCAAGTTCAGTTTTCATAGTTGAGAAGAAAGATGGATGATCACCGTGCTCTGTCTTCCCTCTAAGGGCTAAGCAGCCCCTTCTTGCCCTATCCCGTGGGTTGACATTGCCATCCCTGTTTAGCATCTGGAGACAGTGAGATGCAGGGAATCAGTCAGTTAATCCCCAACTAAAAACACATCAGCGTGTGCAAGGTCAGAGAAATAATAGGAATCAGAGACCCACCCCCCATCTTGGTCATCTTGATCTTGGAGAGATCATTGTTCCACCCAGAGCCCTAAAGAATGGTGATGTTTCCAAACCTCATTTAAAGAGTTTACCATTCCAAATCTGTTGTTCAATTGCAACTTTTATTACATTTGCTTGGTATTCTCAAATGTCTGTGTCGGGTTCTTAGGGCATTGTGTCCAATCCTCCGTCACATTTTCCTAGGAAGAAGCTACAGTTCATCGGGAAGGGGGGGTGCGGTTTGAAATGGTGCCTACCTGCTCAATCACAGGGAACGTGATCCTGTTTCAGTGGGGAGATTCACGTACAGATGCTCATCTGGTGTTACCTTGTACTTACTGCTTTGGTTTGAAAAACGTTCAAATTGATGACTTTAATACTTATAATAGGAGTCAAGTGATAAAAGCTTTAGAGATGCAATATAAGAAATAGAGAAACTAGGCAAAGGCTCGTAATTACACCATACTGATTCAACTACTATTCTCATTTTGGTGGGATTTTTATCTAGCATTTTTCATATTTATATTTCTTGCATGGTTGTAATAATATTTATATAATCTTATACATTTTATTTTTTACTTAACGTCTTTCACTAGCACTTTCCAAGTTACTGTAAATTATCATCTTTGTGAATAGCTGCATAAATTCCAGAAATGGATATACTAGTGTTATCTAATCCTTCTCCCGTTTGAGTGTAGTTAAGGGTTTTTGTTTTTGTTTTTTACAGTTTTTCCACTGTTAGAAGTAAATGCTGTGACTCCCTTGTCCCTATGCACACTTGTGGTTTGGATTTCGGGACGAAGGCGATAAACTTGAGCAAGGTCTCTTTGATTAGTAGAATCATTAACTAAGATTAAGAGTCAGTGTGAGGAATTTATAGGTGAATGACCTGGTGTGTTTTATATGCTTTTCTTAAATCAAAGCTTGGGGGCTTAGAGAGAAGCTGTCTTCTGGAACAGGAAATGAGACCTCCACTGGCAGTTCTCGGGGCCAGCCTGCCTTGAGAAAATAGGAATGGGGACAGTTGAGATGGACTTGAGTCACAGAAAATATATTTAATCGCTGATGTGCACAGTTTTGGAACAGTCACCCTCAACCCTATACAATCAAGGAAATGTTGAATTAGGCCAAACCAGAGAAGGGCTTGCTCTTCCCACTGCTTTCTAGAATATGCTTCACGTGTCATTTCTTCTTCCTAAATCACTCTCCTTCCCACACTCCCACCCCTGGACCTGGTTGGTTTCCATTCAGTCTTCAGTTTACAACTTGGAAGACACTTGCCCACCCGCAGCCAAGGCTCTCCCTGTCCCTCCCACGTCCCAGATCCAGGTCTTAGCTGCTCCTCCCTGAGCTTCTCACCACACGGCCACACCTCATCGTCATTGCCTATTCACTTGTCGCCCTTTCCCGGAGCCTCCAACGGTGTGAGGGCTGGGTCTGCGTCCTGATCCCCGTGTGTCCCCAGTCCCAGCCCAGCGCCTGGCACATCGTGTCACTAAGTAAAGATCTGTTGTGTGAAAGAATGAACGAGCCCTAAAATGCCTTGGTATTACTTCCCCAAAGGACTTCTTGCCATGGTACCAATTGCTTGGCAGGGGATTCAGCTCAGCATGATATATTCATAGAAGGAAAGAGTCTTTTTTTTTTCTTTTTTTGAGATGGAGTCTCACCTTGTCACCCCTAGGGTGCAGTAGCATCATCATAGCTCACAGCAACTTCAAACTCTTGGGCTCAAGGGATCCCCCTGCCTCAGCCTCCCCAGTAGCTGGGACCATAGGCACACACCACCACACGTGGCTAATTTTTTCTATTTTTTAGTAGAGATGGGGTCATGTTCTTGCTCAGGCTGGTCTCGAACTCTTTTTTTTTTTTTTTTTTTCCTTTTTGAGACAGAGTCTCACTGTGTTGCCTGGGCTAGAGTGAGTGCCGTGGCATCAGCCTAGCTCACAGGAACCTCAAACTCTTGGGCTCAAGCAATCCTCCTGCCTCAGCCTCCCGAGTAGCTGGGACTACAGGCATGCGCCACCATGCCCGACTAATTTTTTCTATATATTTTTAGTTGTCCAGATAATTTCTTTCTATTTTTTTTAGTAGAGACCGGGTCTCACTCTTGCTCAGGCTGATCTCGAACTCCTGAGCTCAAACGATCCTCCTGCCTCGGCCTCCCAGAGTGCTGGGATTACAGGCGTGAGCCACTGCACCCGGCCGGTCTCGAACTCTTGAGCTCACACAATCCCCACCCACCAGCCCCCGATCCCGGCCTCCCAGAGTGGTAGGATTACAGGCGTGAGCCACCGCACTAATAAAGGGAAACACTCTAAACTCCATTGCAGAGTGGGCTTCAGCAAACCTTGGAGAAACAAGGTTCAAACTATTGGACAAAAGCCAACTTAAATATATGATTCTTCTTTCTCCTCCACAAAGTTCAGGCGTATAACCTTTTGACAGAATCCTTTCTAAAGGGAGTTTCTATTCTCTAGCTCATTTGAACCCATCTCGAGGTTTTTAATGGCATAAGACATCTTGACCCATTACCTTCTGTTTGATATTGTATATTCATAGGGTGATAACCTTCAGATTCATTTATATTTTCATCACCAAAATATATTAAATACTGAGAGCGTTGTTGTTGTTAAGAACAATGTCAGGATATGCATACTAAGCCTTAGACCAAGCAATGCCTTTCCTGATCTCTTGGGCTAGAGATTTGGAGAGGGGGAGGAGTGGAAAAGACTCTTGTGTTGACCTGATGAGGTTTGTAGGGTGCAGAGGTAGGTTTGGAGGAAGCATTTATCTCCCTGAGAGAAGTAAACAGGTTTGCACAAAAGTGATGGAAAGATATTAGTAAGAAGTGTTGGAGGTGGGAGTTTAGTTTCTTAGCCACTCGCTAGGAGGCTAAGAGACTCATCGAAGGCTACACCTCGGATCTTCAGAAGCAGGGAACCTTCTACGGCATCGGTGTTGGATGAGCAAACTGACTTGGCCTCCAGAACCGACTCCCTCATGGAGAATTGCTTCCTGCCGGGAGGATGCTGGTAGCCAGACAGCCACGCAGATCATTTCATGCAGTGCTGTCTACCCAGCCACTCTGAGTGTGTGTAACATTTCTCTTCTCTGGGCTGCAGAGAAAAATGGCCCTCATCCTAACGTTTAGTGCTTATTCTGCAAAGCACTTGGAGTTTATCTCGTGAAATCTGTGCTTCCACTTCCCTGATTACCCCGAGTAGATCCCACACTACCCGCACTGGGGAAGGGCAGATGGTCAAGGGTGATCCACTAGGAATTAATATTCAAAAAGCTCAGCCCTAAATCCATGGGCAATGCCCTGACACCCACGTCTTTACAATGTGTTAAGAGCTCTGAATGTGAGTCCTCAAATTCCTCTTAAGAACAGCTGGAAGATGATTCGAGCATTCAGCACCAGACCAGACCTTCAACCTTGGCCGTGGACGTGCGGCAGTTTGCACGGCCAGACCACCCTGCAATCCAGCCTGCAGGTGGTGTCTTTTGCTCTGTCTTCCAAAATTGTTTCCACCAATTAGAAATGCACTCAGAAACCCTTCATTAAAATGAGAGAGGCCACCCCCATCTCAGTCTCTGAGTTGGCCTCTTCTTGGAGCTGTTATAGCCAGATAAGAGGAGGTCAGACATATGTTGTCTGAAAGTGAACTTCCCAAGTCTGGTAACCTTACTCCTTTAAAATTATTTTCTTTATTTTTTTTTTCCTGATCTGAATACATATTTAGGAAGAGCATTTTGCAAGCCAAGAAAGGCAAACGTGTACTTTAGTTGTAGGGGGAATAATTTGAGGCTTTGAGAAGAATTTCCAAACAGCGAGAGTCGATAGATGGACTACAGGAAGCCGTTAGTAGGGAAGGTTCTGGACTCTTTCTCCTGGGCCTCTTAAAAATAGAAAAGATTTTCACTAGAATGGAATGGCTGAGGTGCGTCCCTTCCTTATTAGGTTCTCTCGAGGCTTAGGATACCGTACGACGTCCTGTCTCATGGGAAGACAGCCCGGCACGAGAAAAACACACATTGCCTTCCACTCCCGGAAAGCTTCATTTTAGTGCTTTCCGAATCTCTCTAGATGAGTCAATGTTAGACTCCATTGGCAAGATTCTTTCCCTTTGGTGATGGAGGTTTGCATATCACAGTCCTGTCCCTCTTCCCCAATTCTGCCACAATGAACCTCGCTCCCGGCTTTGTGTAAGGAGCTGCCCCATGATGGAAGGCTGTGTCCCAAGTCCCCAAGACCCAAGTTGCCCTGGGGATACTGCGTCTCTCCCCCTCTGCCCCAGTCCCGCAGGGGCCATCGGCAAGATACTTGTAACTGCCTCCTTCTCTACAAATAGAGGAATACAGTGTCCTTATG